TGGCTTTGTACTACTTGGTGAGTACACATCAAAGACCTCCAAAATCCTGAAATGTTTCCTCTCGATCTACAAGAAGGGAACCAAGCATGCTCATCCCGACAGTATTTCTGTTTAATCACCTCTCGCCAAAGTTGGGTGGGCTGGGTGGCAAATCTCCACCACCTTTTTTTCCAGCCTAGTGACTAACTATCGCATTCATCAAGAACATTGACATAAAGAATAGGGGGATGCTAGAAATGGACTTAATTAGAGTGATGCTACCAGCTAGGGAGAGAAATCTGCTTTTCCAAGACGCCAGCCTCCTCCCACCCTTGTCAATGACTAGGCTCCATAGATGAAGCCTGGGGAGGCTTAGACAAGAGTGGTAAACCGAGGTAGGATGGGGGCAGCGACTCCACATCGCAACCCCAAGTGTCGGCAAAGCGTTGGTCCTGTGCCTCATTGAGGCATATCCTAGTCATCTTTGTCTTTGCAAGGTTAGTTCGAAGTATTTGGGTAATCGTAGTAGGCAGAAAGCATTGCAAAAGAGGATCGTTCCATCGACATATTGAAGATGGGAACCACGTGCTCGACCGAGGCCCCGAGATGTAGCCTGCTTTGTACACTCGATAGATAGAAGCGCTGAACACCTCAGCCACGATGGCGAAGAGAAAGGGTTATAGAGGGTCTCCTCTCGAAAGTACCCCTCAGGAGATATATTGATAAGAGCCAAAAAGTGGGGATTGGAAATGCATCCATGGATCGACCTCCTCCAGTGGGCACCAAAACCCATTCTGGCATAGTCTCTTCGAGAATATTCCGATCAGCGTGGTCGTAGGTTTTTTCCCAATCTACTTTGATTACTGGCCTAGGGATGCCAGAACTATGTCGGGAATGGATGCATTCTTGGGTACTTACAGCCCCATCGAGGACTTGGCATTGCTTGACGAACGCCCCTTGATGGGAAGAAATCACGAAACCGAGGAGCGCCTTGAGGCGGGAGTCCAGAACCTTCGAGAGAATTTTTAGGAGGAATTGACCAGACTAATAGGTCTGATATCTTTCAACTCTTCCTCTCTTTTCTTTGGGATCAATGCGATAAAAGATGCATTCATCACCTTTTTCATGATGGCTCGAGAGTGGAATTCTGAAAAGAAAGCCATTATGTTGGGCCTTAAGGTGTCCCAGAAGACTTTGAAAAGAGCGACGAGAAGCCATCAGGGCCGGGGGCCTTATCGTCGCCTAGATCTTTGATGGCTAGGAGGACTTCTTTCTCAGAGAATGGAGCCTCTAGAGTTACAGTGACTTCGGGAGAGATAGTGAAGAATGAAAGGTCATCCATTACTTTCCTAGGACCCAGGGAGAGGAGAAAAACTTGGAGAAGAATTGGACCGCTGCCGCCTCGATAAGACTAGGTTGATCTACTGTCTGGCCTTCTACCACAATATGGGATATCGAGTTCTCCCTCCTTCAGCAATTAGCTATCTTGTGGAAATACAATGTTTTTTGATTTCTTGACTTGAGCCATGTCATTTTGGCCCTTTGGGCCCAGTACACCTCTTCTTTCCTGAGAAGGGACTGGTATTCAAGTTTTAGGTAAGAGCGAGAGGCCAACTCGGGGGAAGACAGGGATCTCCCTGCTTTTAATAGATCCAACTGGTGAATAGAGGTCAATAAGGAGGTTTTCTTATTTTTGAAGTTGCTTGGCTCGAGGAGTCCCACTGATCTAGGACCAAAGAGGAGAAGCCAAGCTCGAGGAGCCAAGACATTCTCGTCGGAAGGGCTTGGGCCCTCTAGGGATGACTTGGGTATGTGGAGAGGATTAGTTTGGTCTATGGTTTGAGGTGGGCTTGGAGAGCACGAGAGAGTGAGTGCCTGGTAATTCTAGATCCTACCCAAGGGAGGTTAGGAATCTATCTAGTTTCAAAAGACTTGGAGAAGATGAGTGGTTGGATCAGGTAAACTCCACATCTTCTAGCGTAATATCTAAAAGGCTATTGTGAGCAATGAAGTCGGAGAACTTGATCATTGGAGGGGTTATCCTGTCGTGGGAATTTCTTTGTGAGAGTACCTGGTGATGTTGAAATCACCTCCTAGGCACTAAATTGAAGAGGGAAGAGTTGCCATGCCTTGCAACTCTGTTAAGTAGCTCAACTTCTCGCTGTCGGCTTTGGGTCCATAGACTACTGTACACTTTCAAAGGAGGGAATCAAAAATCCTTGTCATAGTGACTTAAAACCTCCCAATCTATGAAGCCACTAAGGTATGTTGGGATGGGTCCCAAGGAACCCATATCCCTTCTGATGCGCCAACGACGTCCAGAGCGATCCACTAGCAGGGTTGAACACCCCATACTTGCCTGATTTGGGAGAGAGCAGGAGAGGGGAGTTTGGTCTCCACCAACTCGAGAATCGAAGAAGAAAATTGGGGCACGAACTGGGAAACATTGCTCCACTTGTCCGAGTGGCCTAAGCCCCTAATGTTCCATATTAAGGTTTTCATAAGGCAACAAAATGGTGTGGGGCACTTCTGGTATTTTGGCGAGAAGGCAGAGGCTCCGAACGAAGAGCATAGGGCAAGTCAGGGGATTCGCCTCTTTCATACCTAACCCCAAACGAGAGTTTGTGGAGTTCTCTGGATACTCTCTGGTTGGTGGTAGAGGACTCGCCTAAGGCCTTCATTTCTATCGACAAGTGACCAGGATCTTTATCTGCTGTAATACAAACTTTGATGGGACTGTCGGGTCGAAACCCCATCACCGAGAGGAGCTCTACTGGGTTGTCTTGGGCTCGATATAGGGCATCCACAAACCCAGAATCCACAGAGTCCATCAAGTACGACTCTGAGCAAGAGGATAAGCCATTGGCAGGGGGGGAGAGGGGGTCAACCGAGGAGGGGAGGGTGGAATCTCGCGGTGCAACGAATAGGGTAAGAAAGGGAGGAAGGATCACTACTCAGGGGGATGTGAAAAGAGAGATAACCAGGGGGTGGAGATATCAGGGGAAAAGCGAGGTGGAAGCTGGGATAGGGGGCGAGGGTTAGGCGTCCCCAGGGGAGAGCACAGAGGAGACCAAGGCAGCTTCGCGGGGCAAGACGCAGCCACAAGGGCGGCAACAAAGGAAACGGAAAGAGGCAAAAAAGGAGGGGGGTGAAGGGGTTGGGTAAGGACACCGATGGATGGAGACCCTGGCAGTGAAGGGGCACCCCCGAGAAATCGATTGACCGAGGGAGGAGGTGGCTCTGCCTGAGTTAACGCGATTCACACAGAGAAAGTAGGAGAGGGCTGGGAATTGGAAGCAGACCCAGCAAGGATAGGGTCTGGAAGAGAGAGATTAGGGACTATCGGTGAGATGAGAGCGAGCCGTAAACTGTTAGCCTGCGAAAGGATACGTGGTGGGACACTTGTTGAGACGAGAGGCTCTACACCACAGATAACGGGACAGGTGGCTTGTCCATCACATGGATCTACTGGAGGAGAGGGAGAGGGAGGTGGGAGAGGGGCATGCCTTTGACCGACAACCGAAGAAGGGGTGTAGGAGAGGACACCTGTCGGGGTAGGAGACTCGTCACCACCAATCGAGGCAGAGAGGGTATGGGGGGTATGGGGACAGGTGTCAAGCTCCACTGGAGGAACCTCAGGAAAAAGTTGGCAGGTGCCCTACCCAGCAGGAAGGACATCAAGAAAGGGGAAAGGGGGAGATAGTGTGTGCTGCAATGGGAGCTGAGAGAGGGTCAAAGGCAGGGACACCTGTCGGCAAGGATGGGGGAGAGGAAGAGGCTGTAGCATGAAAAAGGGGATGACCTTCAGGAGGAAGGGGAAGGGAGACGAGGGGTGGGGTGCCGTTCCATTGTTCTGGCCTTGAAGGACCAGCCGACACCTTTCCACAGGGAAAGGGGGAGGCGAAGAGTATCCTGATGGGGATCCTAAGCAATGACGGCATGGGGAAGAGTCGACGTCTCTGGAGCCAGGGGTGACTTCTCAAGGAATAGAGTTAGGGATAGCTTCAGGCACCGTGCGAGGGAGGGAAGCTTTCAGGTCGGGTTGCCGGGCATGGAAGGACTGAGGGTGGTGGAAAAACTTGCTATGCTTGCCTCTACACGGCACCAGAGTCCAGCCGTCTTGATGTATCGGCAGGCGAGGATCAACATCCTGGTATACCAAAGGGCAGGGACCAAGATTGAAGGAGTTATAGCTTGGTCCTCTGCCTCCTCCATACTTCTTGATGGTTTATCAGTCGCCAATAAGATTCACTTTGAAAGTACTAGGTGGAAGGGGTTGTGTGTTTGCTAGGTTACATGAGTAAAGATTGAGGCTTTAACTATATGAGCGATAGCTTTAATCCTTCTCGAGGCAGAAGTATCCTTTTAGGAAGTTTCTTTTCTGTCCTTACTAGATTGGTGGCTTCCTTATCTATGAAAAATATGGATCATGATCAAGTTGGGCCTTACCCTGCCTCGGAGATCAGCATGGCAGTGTCTCTAAGACCACTTAATGTGCCTGCACTGTGCTTTCAGGGTTTAATTAATTTTGGATTGCTATAATATTTGTAGCGATTATTTGCCTATCATCCATAAGGTCTACTACTCCAACTTGTCCAAGTTCCGTTACTCCAGCTCTTTCAGCAACAAGCATTGCTAGACCATTTGGTTATTTAATCTTAATTTTCTCATACATTATGTAACTGTTGGCAATTAACGTTATAAGTCCATGACTCAAGAGGCCATAGGAGTTATGTAGAAGTTGAATCTTGCTATGCCATGTTCTTTTAACAAATAGCTGCTTTTATTTGTTGTAATTTTCAAAAATTAAAAATAGGAGCTTTTACATCCACTTTGATGTAGTTTATTTAGATCCTTTATGGAGAACTAAAGGCTCTTTCAAGAGCTTAGTGAGCCTTTGGTATTATATCTTCATTGCTATGTGGGAATGTATATAATTTCTATGCGGTGTTGGAATGTGATGATTTCATTTAGTTTGTAATTACTGATAACTAACTCAATGTGCAATTGTGAATTTTTAGGGACAGGAAAGACATCTTGTGCTCGAGTTATTGCTAATCAAGCGGTATGTTGAATGTGATTCACTGATTTTTTTGTATATTTTCTTTCCGTCTTAGATTGAGTTCGTGAAATAGACTAAGATCACATCATGGTTCAATTATATTTGGGAAAACAATATTGCAATTATACAAATGAAAAATATTATATCGTTCATGAATGATGTTCCAATCTTGGTAACCATTTGAAATCATGGATACTGTTGCTATAATTTGGATAGCCCAGAAATAAGAAAAATAAAAAGCATGAATGATCCAATTATTATCTCTTCTAATCACACAGATCTGTGGTATAATAAGAGCCTACTGCTTACTGAAAGACAATGCACTGAATCATTACGTTGTTACTGAAGGATGCAAAAGAAAACTTAACTCGTGTGCGGCTAGACCTTTGTTCCCAATGATTGTCAAATGGCCGATATTTTTGCCAAGACAATGTTGATAGATCAGCATCTATATCTTATTGACCTCTTCTAATTAGGCATCAAAATTTAGAGGATTTGTTGGTAATTGTCTATTCATTTGAACTGTTTTTCTTTATATTTCTATCGATATCTTGATACGATGCTTTTCTGTAGTGGAGTTCTCTTAATGCAATGATCAAAAAGTTGGTTGCCCGACTTCCTAGGTGGCTATTTTTAAAAAACGCCTAGGCATTATCAAGGTGGGACCAATTAGGCATCTGACCTAGACGGATGCCTAGGCGGTTGGGCGGCTGATTAGGCGGTCAAAAAGGCAGAACTAGGCGGCATGCAGTGCTTTGTCGGAATTTGTTTTTCGGGTGGGGGCAAAAATGGACGTTTTACCACCTTAAAAGGGGGGATAAGGGTTTTGGGGTTCATTCTTTCCCCCCAAAACAAATTTAGTGAACTTTAGAGAGAGAAATAACTTGAAAAAAGCTAGATTTGGAGATTTTTTTAGAGATCAAAATTTTTGATTTGTGAGTCATGTTTGAATTTTTTTTTATAAAAAAGCTAGGGTTTTGGGGGTCATTTTTTATTTTGTGACTTTTGAGTGACTTTTGATTTGCGAGATTTAAATGACATCTCAAGTTCATTTTATCTTTTAAAGTTCATTTTGAGTTATAATTCTTTCATTTACAATCTAAAGTTGTAAATGTTTATGTTTGATCTGTGCTTCCGGCAACTTAATAATATATTACATACAAATCTTACTTATTAAATAATAATAAAAAATAATTATATATCATAGGAGGTGTGGGGGATCCAAATTTTTTAAAAAAAGAAAAGAAAATCCTGTTTTTATCAGTCTGGGCGCCCTCCTAGCGGCTGCCTCCGCCTGATTGAACATTCTCTTAATGTTCTGGCACTTCACTGTGTCTCAGTGCTTACAGTTAGCAATCTTCAGTCTTCATAGAAATACTCATGCAAAATATGTTTATGTGTGGTTTCTTATTGCATTCTATGAGTCAACCATGCATTGGGGTGAACTTCATCCAGAAATGTTGCCTGCATGACCAAGTTTTTGCAATTTTGTTAGCTTTATGTTGGCTGAATAACTTAGGGGGTCATGGTTTATATTTTACGCCTTCTATTGATGTATTGTTTGGTATTTTAATTTTAAGTTTCATTTCAGGGTGTTCCTCTGCTATATGTACCTCTGGAGGTGGTAATGTCAAAATATTATGGTGAAAGCGAACGTTTATTGGGCACTGTGTTTTCTCTTGCAAATGACCTCCCAACTGGTGCAATCATATTCCTTGATGAGGTGCTTCTCTTTGGTACCTCTTATAATGCTAGCATTCTACAAAAGTTGCCTCTCTTTGCTAAGGGATGCTTCATACTTATTTCATGATTCTTCTCTTAGGTACTGCATTTTTGGAAGCATACTCTTGCCTTGCGTGTTTAAATTCTTGTCTTAGTGTGTTTAAGTTCAACATTCATCTGTGCTTGGCCATTTTTTTCAGCATCATTTAATTATGGCTGTCTTACCATTTCTTTTTCTATACAGCTTTATTTTTGTCGTCAGCTATTCTCATTTATTTATTCACCTTCTGTCTTTTTGTACATCTGTTAGCATCAAGTTTTGGCAATCTGCAGGTGCTACGTTACACATGAATATGATATTATTGAGTTTTGGTGGGACTAAACATGCATTGCGTTAAGAAATAGTTGTGATAAATGGATTTAAATTTAGTGAGTTTTCTTTGCAAGTACAAAAAGGATATTGTCTGTTTGCATGAGTTGAAAAATAGCTTCCCTGTGAACCATTGATTGCTTGCAGGAAAAGAACAGATAAATTTATGAATTGTTTGTTTTGCTTCGTAACTCTTCCAAAATCTCTTTGTACACGTTGATCGTTTTGCGTCTTTGCTTGTCTATAATTGAATGCTTAATTCTCCTTTTTTTGGGGTAACATATCTGAAGTACTACGCTGTCAACCTCATATATTTATGTGTCACAGTGATACCTAGTGTTATTTGTCCTATACACTATCACAATTTATTCTGTCAAAGGTCACTGCTCTCCCTATTATTTTTAGTGACCGTTTTAAGTGAACCATTTATATTTCTTTCCTCCTTAACCTACAAACATTGAAAATGCCTTATGGTGTGCACTACTGATGCATATTTTTTATGTATGGTGACCATAAAATGCACTTCTTGCATCTTCAACTCTCTGTTTTATTTTTATGTATGGTGACCATAAAATGCAGGTCGACTCTTTTGCTGCAACTCGTGACAGCGAAATGCATGAGGCTACGCGTAGAGTTTTGTCAGTGTTGTTGCGGCAGGTAATTTTGAGCTCCTATTGCATTTTCTAAAATAATCATTTCTCAATTGATTTCATGGATTCTCAATTTAAAGAATTAGGAATCCACTGTTTTCTTTTAGTGAAACACAAATAAGTACACACCTCTTTGTTATGATGTTTGTTGCATTAGTCTTATTTCAACGCCTTTTACGTAAAAGTTTAATATGTCATCCTTGTTATTACCATAGTCATTTGAAGCATCCACGTATTGTTAATTGTTTTCTGATTTGACTGTACCTTCATGAGGCCAAAAATGTGAAAAAATTGAAAGCATAGCCGAAAACTATAGTAGGCATTTACATCAACATATGAGGTAAGATACGGGAAGCTGATAACCATGATACGGTTAGCAACTTATGGTAATTGGCTAGTTTAGACAATAGGCACTAGTTAATCTTTGTGACCCTTTCTCATAAATCGTTATTGGTCTAGTTTGAGCTATTTGCAAATGAGATGAGAGAAGTGGCAATAAACTCTTTGAAAACCTTATGAATTGCCTAGTCAAAAAACCTATTTCTCTTCCCCTCCTGTCTCCTTTTCAGGTGAACGTTTTTTGGTTCAATTGCCATCCAAATTGGTAAGGTTGTAAGGGTTTCAGAACTCTTATTGCCCTGCACTATCTCCCACTCTTTATACTGCTTGGATGTCTCGATTTGTCATTTTTAGTATTTTCTTTCAGTTAGTAGTTACCATGCGTTAAAATGTTTTGAACTTTGGGCACTGATATTTCATTTCAGTTAACTTTTTTCTAAATTTGACTTTGTGCTTATTTTTCTTATCATCATCATCAATGCCTTTTCCCAACTAATTGGGGTTGGCTACACAAATTTTGGTCTGCTATTATACTGTATCAAGGGTCATACCCTTTGTGAGGCCAGAAGTGCTGATATATTTTCTCAACGTTCAACCATGTCCATTTGGGCCTACCCCTTGCCTTTTTTGAGCCTTCCACTTGAACTAACTTGTACCTCCCAACAGGTGCTGTATTTCGTCTACATCACACATGGTTGGCCCGCCTAAGTCTACTTTCTCTCATCGTATCGCCTATTGATGCCACACTTGAATTCTCTCGAATGTATTCATTTTGAATTCCATCCCTTTTTGTCTTGCTACTCATCCATCTCAACATCCTCATATCAGCTACACCTATTTTATGGGTATGTTGTTTCTTGACGTCCAACATTCCACCCCATAAAGTAAAATTAGTCTTACAGTCACAACTGTCTTATAGAATTTACCCTTCAGCTTCATTGGTATGCAGCAATCACATAAAACTCTGATTGTACATATTCACTTCGCGACCCAACTCTAATTCTATGTGCTACATCTTCGTCAATCTCTTTATTTTTCTTAATTATTGACCCAAGATATAAAAAATACGTTTTTTTTGGTATTTCTTGGCCGGCAGCCTTAACTACTTCGTCTCTACTCCTATTATTACTAGACTTGCATTCCATATAATCTGTCTTAGTCTATCTAATTTTAAAACCTTTAGATTCTAGAGCATCCTTCCAAAGTTATAACTTTGTGTTGACGCCGTTTCGGGTCTAATTGATCAAATGTTTCACTCACGAGTAAGATCCATCGCGGTACCTCATCTTGTAGGTACCTAGTTTAGTTGTGCATAACTAAGACAGAGGTATGAGCACAATGTTGATCCCTGATGTAGATCTATTGTCACTGAAAACTCACTGTTCTCTCTACTAGTTGTTTGTACACTAGTTAACACTCCCTTGTACATATCTCAATAGCATCTATATTCTTTTTTCTTTTTACAAACCCACCAAATTAAATCTCTAAATATTCTACCATGTGGAGGCCTTTTTCCTTTGCCTTAAACTTCTCAATCAGTTGCGTAAGTAGGAAAATAGCCTTGGTTGTTGACATCGCTGACATAAAACGGAAAACAGAAATGGTTTTCTGATATGCGTAGTCGTTGTTCAATCACTTTCTCCCATAGCTTCATAGTGTGGTTCATAAGTTTGATCCCTTGATAATTCGTACAATTCCGTATTTCTCATTTATTCTTGTAAATAGGCATTTAATACATTTCCTTCATTTGTGTAATATTTTCTTTGTTCTCAACAACTTGTTTAACAACTTGATCAACCATTCAATGATGAATGTCCAATCTTCCCCATGCACTTCCAAACCTCTATCGGAATACCATGTGGTCCTAATGCCTTGCATATTTTCATCATCTTTAAAGCTTCTTTTACTTTCGATATCCTAATCCTACGAATGTATCTATGACCTCCGCCCTCATTTATGTAAACGATTGCTTCTACCGCTATGTTCCCATTGTGTTTGTCATTTAATGATTTTTGAAAATAAATTCTCCACCTTTCGTTGACCTCGTCATCCTTCATCAAGACTCTTTGATCCTCACTTTTAATGCATTTATTATAGTCTAAATGCCTATACTTTTATTTTTTTAGCCTCTTTATATTTTTCTAAGTTGTGATCATTTCTAGTACATCGCCAAGATTTATAACATGATCGTTTTTCATTAATGGCCTTCTAAACTTCATCACTCCACCACCAAGTTTCCTTATTAGAATCTCTTTTCCTTGTAGATTCTTCTGAAACTTCTTTTACCACTTTCTTAATATAGTCAGCCATCTCATTCCACATAATATTGACCTCGTGCTTAGAGTTCCAATTTTTTTCTTTAATTAATTCATCTCTAAATAAGTTTATTTTCTCTTTTTTAAATTCCGCCACCTAGTTCTTCGACACTTATTAATTTCATCCCTTCTCTTGCATGTCTTTAGCAAACGTCTATAACCACAAGCTTATGTTAGGTAGTCAAATTATCTCATAGGATAACTTTACAGTCTTTGCATAATGGTCGATCTATCTTCTTAACTGGATCCACTTTTATAGGTTTTTAAATGTTCATCTCATTTTTTTAAGTGTTTGCTATTGCTAGGTTATAGGTCATAGAAAAATCTAGAATAGCCTCACCGATCTCATTTCTTTCATCAAACTCAATTTCCCCATGTACCCTCTCATATCCTCTACTATCCTTCCTTACATGTCCATTTAAGTCCCCTCTTAAAAAGGTCATCTCTCCATTTGATATGTCTTGCACTTGTCCATCCATGTCCTCCTAAAATTGTCTCTTAATTCTATCCTCTAGTCCTACTTGTGGTGCATAAGCACTAATTACGTTAATTATATATTTCCATAATACTAACTCAATTAATAGGAGCTTATCACCTACTCTGTTGGCATTAACTACTTTATCTTTTAAATCTTTGTCTACTATTATGCCTGCGCCATTTCTGTTATTGTCCTTTGCTATGTATCAAAGTTTATACCCGTCTATTTCCTTAGTTTTTTCTCCTTAGTTTCCTGTAGACATGCTATGTTGTTCTCCTTCGTCTCATTGTATCTACTAACTCCATACTCGTATCTGTAAGCGTTCCTACATTCCATGTGGCTTATCTTTCTAAGTCAGATTCATCGTATTTTTAAACACTGCTTCCATCATTGTCATTCTTGCTTTTGTGATCAATTTTAGATTGAGGTGTGTTGCCTGATGCGATATTCATACTGGCTTAGTATTTGATGACTTGCATGAATTTCCGGTATATCTGAATTTTAGTATGTTTGAACTGATGTCTAAGTGTTTTAATCTGAACTAAACTAGTATCTTTTTGGCACATGTTGTCCTGTTATTTATTTGGATCAACTCTTTCATTATTTTGTTCACCGAGTGTTGTCATCTAAAATTCGCACACAACACACCAGTATATCTCCGTTGGTTTTATTGATTTCCTTTCAAATATCTGCAAATAGGTGTCATGGCATCTGAAACCCACCTGTTTGTGTTGTACCCTTTTGCTTTTATTTTTTTCTGTTGGATGAAGGTCATTTTCTATTAGTACATCATTCAAATGGCAGCCCATAGGTGTTCAATACATGTATACGTTATATATTTTTTCCACTCATCATTTGGAATATTTCATCTTGCTGGTGCAGATTGATGGATTTGAGCAAGACAAAAGAGTGATAGTGATTGCTGCAACAAATAGAAAGCAAGACCTCGATCCAGCTCTAATTAGGTATACTTGTTGTAGTTTATGTTTCTGCTTGTAGACTTTTTTAGCCGTCAAATGTCACCATAGATTGAATGAATGCCTAATTTGGACTTCATTAGCCTTGAAAATAGTCAGGGTCACCTCTTTTTGTCTTGTGTGTCACAATTGATGAAACCACATTTTCCCTTTTCCGTTAATAGAAGATGGTACCTTTTGCCCAATCCGAATGCATTCTCAAGTTCTCAGGCACATTCCTTATATAAACTAGAATGTGCAATCATTCATGTTGGGACTCGTCCATGTGCATATATGTCCCAATCATATGCATTTAATGGTCGTCTGCATTTTTACATCTTCATGTGCAAGCCGGAGGTGGAGCACCTATGGAGTTCTACAGCGTAGGGGAACATGGAATTGGTGAACTTGATTGATGGTTACATGGGCATTTTGGCCTGTTTTTAAAAGATGCTCTAAGTTATCTATGATCTAAAAAGCAACGCAAGGTCATCATGTGCACCACTTTTAATTGCATGTTTTGTTTCACAAGAACGTGGTAAATCCCATATTCTTGTTCATTTAGATAACATGTTTGTTTAACGATGATGACTCATGTATTGATCTATTTGTCTTCTTTCAGTCGTTTCGATGCAGTTATAACTTTTGACCTTCCTAATCAGCAAGATCGCGAGGAGATAGCAGCACAATATGCAAGGCACCTAAACAAAACTGAACTTGCTGAATTTTCTGTAGCCTTGGAAGGGTATGACACACATAATAGTGTTGAGAAATAGCTTTGGGTAATATCTATGTTTCGATCCAGTTCCGCTGACTAATTCATATTCTTTCAATTCTATTTGCTTACGACTGACACCATTTTCCAACAAGTCATTCATCTTCCTGGTCCTGATGTTGTTCATTGTATCCTTATATGTAAGATATGACACACACAGACACACATGCATGCACACACGCGCGCACGTCCACAAGAGAGAGACGTAGTCTACTAAATTTATGAGGTTCTCAGACATGGATGATACTGTCTTGTGGGCGTGTATTGCGAGGTCTTGTGGGCTATTGTTTCTCAGAAAGCATGTAGGTACTGTAGAAACCCCTCATCTGATAGGATCGAGTATTAAACTTGTCTATTACCAGCACTATAGCAATGAAACCAAACAACTACAATATGAGATGTGCAAGGCCTCCATCTCTCCTTCCCCCCCCCAACCCCCAAAAAAAAAAGAAAAAAAAAACAAAAGAAACCCAATTAAAAAAATAAAAAAAAAAAAAAAGAAGAAAAGAAAAGAAGGAAAAAAAAGTTGTTTCTTTGTAAGCTTTTCTTGTCCCAAAAAAGTATAAGCTTTTCTTTTCCCAAGAAAGTGTCAGCCCAGTTATTTTTCCGAGTAGGAGACATTAGACTCCATAAATGCGCTCGAGGTTCTACGTGACTTTGTTGAATCAATGACATGTGTTATAGCAATTTACAAGGAAGGGAAGCTACCATATCCCAATGCCTGGATGTTTGCTTCACCACACCACAATGCTCAATCCATGTGGGCAATCCCATGACCAATATTGTTGCATGGATGTTTGTGGAAGAGTACCTTTTTGCAATGGTACAATATTGTTGAACAAACAAATGGGTTTTGAGTGCAACTTTCTACCCAGAGAGAATGACATCCTCAAAATTAGGAGCGGAAAAGTCTATTCCACTTCATATTGCGTGGAAAACTTGGTGGCTTCTGAAAACAGCATCCATTTCATTTTGACATGATTCCAGTGGGTAGGTCATGAATCATGATAAACCGATGGATCCCAACAAGAATCCACTGATTCTCACTGAACAGCTTTTGAGACCGAAATGTTCCTTCCTATTAAACTTCAAAAGTTACATAAAAATTCATCTATTGCTTGTAAGTATTATTATACAAAAAAAGAGAAAAAAACAAAAAGGTATTTTAAGGGTTTAACATTAAGTTTGGTTCCTCCCATCTCTGTTATTGTCAATTTGCTTGTATGTGTTCAGCATAAGGGAGGGCATATTCAACCAAAAAATAAAAATTAAAAGTGCACATTTAAATGTACTTTATTTCTATTATTTCGATGGGTCATATTCCAAAGAAATTGAAGTGAAATCTAAAGTAGCATGTTATAGAATATTGTATGGGTTTATTGCTCTCGTGTGCATTTCCTTCTTATCTACTTATTTTCAGGATGTCTGGGCGAGATATACGGGATGTCTGTCAACAAGCAGAAAGGCACTGGGCTTCAAAGGTTGTAATGGACTTTCACTCTTAACAAATCTCATGTTATATTATTATAGTACACTAGAATGACTTTTTTGTTTTTAAATCTATTGTGCAGATTATTAGAAAACAGATACCCAGTGATGCCATTGGTGGCCTTCCACCTCTCCAAGAATATGTTATGTGCGCATTGGATCGCCGAAGATCTCTGCTTACCAGCTCAGAAACGGCACACAAGAACCTCAATTACCAGTCCAAGAGACGACCTGTGGCATTTGCCAGTTAAAACAAATACTTACCTCGTAGCATTTTTGGCTTTACGAAGGAAAAACACTTGTTTGTACAGGTAGGTGAAATTGTACATTCATTTCATTGTTTGAAGAATAATCTCACATCTGCATAATTTGAAGAATGAAAGAAAGCATATTAGACTTTATTGATAAATGTTAAATTACCGAACCTTTAATCCAAGGGTAGATTATTCTCGATTGACGGCATGTATTATTTTTCTGTACAAAGTATTTGGAACTGCTTTACTGAAATAAATTTTTATTTATTATTATTATTATTATTATTTTGGGTTTTTGAACTCTGTTTTATTGAAATAGATTGCCTCTTGTTTATTTGCTACAGTGTGCATTGGACAATAAAATGTAAAAAGCATTTGTTTATGGCTTGCAGATGGTCCAAAGTAATCAACACTTACATGTAAACCAGGCATCATCATCACCAGATCAAAGGCAGCAGAAATGCTTTGGTAATGCTACACTTCATGGATCATGATGTACACATCGAAACTGAAATGGACATGAAAGGGGTCTTATTATCCTCTAATGAAGCAAAATGTATTGGTCTTAATTCTCTTATCTTAGTTATTACCTTTAGGAAAACTACAAAAAGAAAAAAAAAGTTTTAAGAAGATGACAGCGAAATTAGATGACAGCAATAGTTGTATTTAAAACTTTTTAGCATTATCCAACATAAAATAGTGGTGAATGGTAGATTTCTGCGCTTCACGTGAATTGTCGATATCTTTTGCGCTTCATTCGCACCCTCCTTTCTTTATACGTACGAGTTGAATACATGATAACAAAAATATTTTCAAAGGGAAAGGTTTCTATACTTCTCTTCTCTTAGGGAAGATATATACGTCTACCCCATCGAGCCGTTCAATTAAGTGATCGTTTGATTTTAGATCTGATATCTTAGAGTATTTTATTTTTAATTTTTTTACAAATTATATGAATATAAAATTTTATACGTGCCATCATCTCTATGGGCATACTTAAAAAATATTGAAACAATGTTTTCGATAAATTAAAATGCCCAAAATATCTCTAAAACTTTTAAGGAAAATTTAGCTATTTTGTTTTATTGAGAATATCTTTTTTATAGTTTTTACATGTATGATTTTTAGAGTCGAGTGGATGTCTAAAAATTTCGTGTCAAAATATTTTGTAAAAAAATATTAAAATAAAATAGTTACATTGTGATTGAGCATTCGGATAGGGGAAGTATATAGGTCTTAGACATTGTATAGAGCCGAGGCTCTAAACCATCAAAGTAAAGTGTACCTTCAAATAGTGTTGAGAAATATGGTTTCAATATTAAAAATCTAATCTTTGTGATAGTTTTAAAATATATTTTTATTTTTAAATATAAAATATAAAGTTTTAAAAATATTGTAGATTGAAGAGAGCTATGAAAATTTAAAAATTGATCGTCCAAAAATGCATTACAAGATGCACTATTTCTTAAACTAAAGGGAAACCTAGTTAAAGAGGAAAGGTCGTAGAAGAACGAAGAGTAAGACAGGAATTAAGGGCTCAGGATGAAACCCTGGAGAGAGGGTTGCACAGGAAGGTCGTGGAAGAACGAAGAGTAAGACAGGAATTGAGGGCTCAGGATGAAATCCTGGAGAGAGGGTTGCACAGAGGAAGTGCAAGAGAGAATTCCTAAGAGAAGAAGAGAGAGAAGAGAGGCGAGTTAATGGGTCATGGTGAAACCCAAGAGAGAGAATTGAAGAGTAGCGATACAAAGGGGAAATTCAAAGAAAAGAAAAAGAGGGCAACGGGATGCAGTTGCAGAGGAGTTTGAAAAGAAGAAGAGAGAGAAATGGCAGAGTGCTCGATTAGCCGGAAATCCTAGATAGTGAAACACAGATCAGCTGCAAAGGACAAATCAAGAGAGAAGAGCAAGAGAGAGAAAGGGGATCATCAGCTCATGTTGAAACCCTAGCCAATGAGATTCACAGAGAAGATGAAGAGATGAACGAGAGGTAGAAAAAGAGAGAAACAAGAAATCCTAGATAGTGTTACACAGAGAGCAGCTGCAGAGGGCGAATCAGGAGAGAGGAGAAAGAGAGAGAAAGGGGGATCATCGGCTCATGTTGAAACTCTAGCTAGTGAGATTCAAATAGAAGATGAAGAGATGAACGAGAAGAAGAAGAGAGAAACAAGAAATGATGAAAAGGCCAATGACAGGATAGAGTGAAACATTCTCTTAGAAGTGATGAAAAGAATGGGGTTTGGCTCGAGATGGAGGAATTGGATATTTGTTTTGTCTATTTTCTGCCCAATTTTCAGGCTTGATAAATGGTAGTCTAAAAGGTAAATCCAGTGAGATCTTTTATGTCCTTTTCTCTTTACTATTTACACATAATGCTTTAATCTTATGATCAATAATATGGTAAATAAGGGGAACTTCTCGAGACTTACCATTGCTACGAAAGGACCACTTATCTCCCACTTATAATATGTGGATGATACACTTATTTTCTGCAAGACAGACATAGGGCAAATAATAAATATTAGAAGATTCCTACTTTGTTGCGAAATGACACTGGGTTTGAAAGTGAATTTCGAAAATACCTCAATTATTGGGGTAAATTGCGATGAAGGGTTGATTAATGAGTTGGCGCTTAGGTTGTAAAGTGGGATCTTTTCCAATTACATGCCTTGACTTACCATTAGTGGTAATAGATTGACTATCTCGGTTTGGGATAAGGTTTTTCAGTGGCTTCAAGTTAAACTGGATTTATGGAAACCAAAATACTTGTCTCTGAGAGGTAGAGTTACTCTTTTGCAGTCTTGTCTTGCAAATCTATCAATATACCAAATGTCCTTGATTAAAATGCTAAGAAGTATATAAAAAAACTAGACATAATGATGCAAAACTTTCTTTGGGGGTCGTTTGTGAAATAAAAAATTTCTTTGTAGATGGGATAGAGTTTGTACTCCAAAAAAAGAAGGAGGGTTGGGGATAAGGCGAGTTACTTATATGAATAAGGTGCTACTATGCAAATGGTGGTGGCTTAGCTTAAATTTCAAAGACTAGCTGTGGTGCCTAGTGTGCCTAGTGCTGCAAGCAAAATATGGAGTGGATAGATTTGGAATGTGGGTTGGCGTTGGTAGAAGCAGTGCACATAGAGCCATGTTTTGGAAGGATATTTATATGGGTAAGCCTTACCTAAAGCCTAATATTCGATGAAGTCTTGGTACGGATAACCCTATCTCCTTTTGGTACCATAAATGGCTCGGGGATTGTCCTCTCAAATTACTATATCTTGATCTTTATAACAAAATGATTAATCCACAAGCAGCTGTAGTCTTCGAAACTAATAATGGTCAGGTGGTCTAGTCCTTACTATTGCCGTATAATGATCTTTATAACAAAGTGATTAATCCACAAGCAACTGTGGCTGTATTCTTTGAAACTAATAATGGTCAGGTGGTCTAGTCCTTGCTATTGCCGTATAACAGGGTGCAACATAAGGTTTCTACACAGTTTACTGCTCTAATATCTCAATTGAACGAAGTATACCTCTCAAGTGGGATAGTAGATGAGATAGTATTCGACTTAGAACACGATGGGAGATTTTTGGTGAAATTGACTTATGAACCACTCTTTCAAGATCGATACCGATGTTCTTTACCTCAGATTGCACAAGTATGGAAGTGGCCAGTACCCCATAAGGTTCAATGCTTTGTGTGGCTAGCTGGGCTTAACAAAGTGTTGATTGATAATCTCATAAAAAGGGGTAAAATCCTACCCAATATATGCTTGATGTGTAAAAAAGATGGAGAATCAAATGCACGTCTCTTTGTGCATTGTGATTTCATCTCAAGAATATGCGGTTTCTTTTTGAACATTTTAGAGCTGAAAGTAGCTATGCCTCAAGATGTTATGGGTATTATCACTCATCTATCTTTTCATATGTTACCAAATTTGGGTTCTTTGATTTGGAAGATAGTAAGGGGTGCAATATTGTGGGAGGTGTGGAAGGAACGCAATAAAAGAACCTTTGAAGGGGAGAGTCTTTCTTTTGAAAGAGTTCTCAATAGGATTATTCACACACTTTGGAACTGGTTGTCGGTTACAAAGGAAGGCTAGGGAACGTCTGAGGTGGATGTGAGGCTAAACCTTGCTGTCCTAGTTTTCTCAAAGGTGGCCAAGAGCCATCATGTGGGTCGATGGCTGCCCCCACCACAGGGTTGTGTCAAATTGAACTTCGATGGAAGTTCGCTTGGAAATCTTGGTGATGCAGGGCTTGAAGGCCTGGTGCATGATTGTAGTGGGACAATTATTTTTGCTTATTCAATCCATATTGGAATAGCCTATGCTAACCACGTAGAGCTTTCAACCTTATTTCATGGTCTTTGATTGTTTAAATCTAAATATTTGGGTCCTATTTGTATGGTAGAAGGAGATTCTTTGAATGTTATCAAGTGGTGCAGAAAGGAACAAGGGATTCCTTGGAATCTGCGATCATTATAGTGCCAGATTATGAATATGGTTTCAGATTTGAGTATATCTTTTCACCATATTTTTAGGGAGCCTTGATTATCAATAAATTTTATTAACATTTGTCAAAAAAAAAAAGTCGGGATGACCTTTTAGTGAACAAGGATGGCCATACTTGTTGTAGACGTTGGCAACAGATGACGAAAGAAGAATCGGATTAGACCATTCCTAGAATTTTATATTTGGTATCGCAAATACGATGTTTTGATAACTTGTTTGAAAATTCTAGGAAGTCATAAATAATCATCAAACAATTGTTTAACCCCCAAGGACATCCTATTGGTGAACCAAGTTGTCTAGCTTACCAATCACCATCTCTGGTTAGGAATTGGGCTTCGGCTTGGGCTTTCTTCTCAGGAATTGCGCTCGGGCTGAAATGGTTAGCAGTTGATACCAAGTAATACTACATCTTAAGTTCAATTCTTACTACTGAACTACCCCAAAAAAGTATTGGCTTTTTAGATATTAGAACCAACCCGTAGCTAGCTAACCTAATCAATATTGTCGGATTTAATCAACCTATGCAAGTCAGCGCTCTGGTTCAATCATATGGTCTCCAAGTTTATTGCAATTAATGAGCTGGCCACACCAGAACCTGTACATGCCCAACAACCCAAGCCATTTTGGGTGTAGTTCACAAACCACATAACCACAATACAACCCCTTACCTGTGGATGTAGTCCATTTTGGGTGAACTACATAAATGTATGTGTACCTTCTACTTTTACTTGTGTTGTGGTTGGTGATTTCTCATTGTACTTTTTTTTTTATTATTATTTTTTTTATATTTTTCTCAAATATATTGCACACATTATTGTTTATGGGTATTTTGTTTAGGTGTTGGAATCATTGTTGTGGGATGGTCACCACATCAATTAGGGATTTAGGTAGAGGTGGCAATGGACCTGGACCCGACCCGGGACCTACAGGGTATACCCAATACGGGTCCGGGTATGGGTCCAACATCTAGACTCAGCAGGTCGGGTTCGGGTCCAAAACCTAGACTCAAATACTATTTGGGTCCGGGTCCCGCTGGACCCCATACCCGTAAACTGTTAGAAATAAAATACTTCAATCCCTATCTGTTTGGATGTATTAAGGATCCTATACAATAATAACTCGTAGGCATTTTATCTATTAAACGACAAATCAGATGGCTTGAAATCTAATAACGGGTGATTGTGACCTTGTTGCAAAATAATATGGGTATATGATGGTA